AAATTTAGTAACATAATATTCTATATACATAATCTTTGAAAGCTAAGCTATAAACTAACATAAATTTTCTGTACAATCATTATGTATGTTTTTGCATAATTAATGAAAGATTGTGAAAAAATTTATCTTTTGCATCCACTGCAAATCTAAAAGTATTTATAGTGGTTAATGGATAATTTCAAAATCTTAAATACTTCTTTTTTTTCAAGTTGACTACAAACCTAACCAACTTTCCAAAGTCTTCTTCATTTGTGTTTGATTTTTTAAACTCAACAATCCCTATTTCCCATAAAGAATCTATTGGTCTGATATTAAAAGCACAATCAGGTCAATTTCCATATTTTTTCTTTCTATGGGTTGATGAATTGCTGGGGCAAATTCTGCCCTAAATAAATAGATATATATAAGATTTTTGGTTACTTGTTTGTTTGTTTGTTTATCATTTTCTTACCACTTAAGTGGTACACCGGAAATTTTCTCTAAAAATTCCATAATAGAGTCTACTTCATGTTCCTTATTTTTTTCCACATTGATATTCTATAAAATTTATCAAAAAATTTAGTAATGTTAATGGAAACAAAATACAAGTGAACTTAATAATCATTATATATATTATATATCAAAATTTACATTTTTGCTGCTACCTCCACCAATCCATTTAGCATACATGCTGATATCTTCTTTTCATTCTCACTATAATCATTATTTCTATCAACATCATCTAATTACATGAATATCATGAATATCATTAAGGGGTTACACACTATTAAAACAGCAAAAAATCCCTTAAAAACATGAGTTGATCACTTGATTTTAATAGTGTGTGACCATGTGTGACCCCCTTATGATATTCATGAATACAAATCCTACATCTAATAAAGCTAATTTCTCTAATTTACTAACAAGCTTATAGAATTCTATATAATTAATTTTTCTAACTAGAAAGTTCTTCTAAAAACTTTATAATTTTGAAGGTCTATTATGCAGAGTTGGCAAATTGACTGGTCCATTAAGAGCTGATGGACTTTGGACTGGTCCATTGCCATTAATAAATTACTAAATATGGCTAAAATGTTACACTGATGGAACCAATAAATCACTGATAGACCACCAATGGACCATACATTTTCCAACCCTGCTATTATGTATGAAGCTAATGGAGCATCATATTTTAATTTTGCTAAATAATTAGCCTTTATATTTGAAAAGTATTCTTTTATTATTTTTGTTCTTCCAAATTTAATAGGTTCACCATATTCATTTAACTTTTCTTAATAAAAAAAAAAATCAATTGTATATTAAAAAAGGACCAAAACAAAGTCTGAAATTTATATTTACCTCTACAAAGTTTCTTAATCTTTCTTTACATTTTATAATATCATTATCAACATTATCATCTTCCTCTATTTCATCATCAGGCCGTTTGTTTACACTAATATTAAGTAATGAAAAGTAAAGTTTATGGATTATTAATTGTCTTTGTTTCTATTTTGAAACATGTATCAATAGAGTTGGAACTGGTTGATAACCAGTTAATTATATTTATTTATTAATGTTATAACTAGAGTGACACTGAGTGGTGGCAATAACCCATCACTAACATTCTTACTTACCCATTTCTTTCATCTTTAACACCTTGTTGTTTTCTTTTATTTTTTTGTTTTTGTTGGGACATTTTTTTTTTTTATAAAAAAATAGAAAATAAAAAAAAAGAATTTGTTATTTGATTGACAAAAACGCATACTAATTATTTATGTATGGAACCCCCTATTTTTTTTTTGATGTGATTGGTTTTTTTTTTTGGAAAAACAATTTATTTTTTGACAGATAATCTTGTGTAGCACATCAATATTTACATCTAGAAACGTGACACATAATTAATCATTATTTGTAACATCAATTATTTCGTGTCTTTAGTTATTATTTATTATTTACTATTTATCTATGTCCACAAATCTTCCAGATAGATTGATAAGAATTATTATGATTATTTTATTTATATTTTATCAATC